CATGTACACATTAATAACTCCTCCCTTGGTGGGGGGCTTGCTTACGATAACAAGGGTGGGGTGATGGGCCTGGCTGAGGGGACACCACCCGTTTCCCAGCAGCCTTTGGGTCAGAGCTGCCCCCCAGCTAGCATCCTTCCTGTCCACCTGCTGGCTTATGGCATCCCCTCACCTTTTAGGGTCATACCTCCCCAGTGTTCCTGCAGCTTGGCAATCTGTCCGACACTAGGGATTCTGTGGGGAGAGGGCTCAGTGGCTCCGGACTCATGTGACAAGTTTGCTCCCCTGGGTCCTTCCCACCCCCTTGCTCCAGGCAGCCTGCTTTCCTGCCACTGCTGCCTGACGAAATGATGTCACACATGGCTGCCCCTTGGAGACAGCGGGGACAAGGTGTATATTGGCATTGATGACCCACATCCTACAGTGCCCCGTGAGGGCTTTGCTGTGACCCCAATGACTGTATAGTGTGGGGCCTTTGGGTGAAGGCGGGTCAGCAGGGGCAGTGGCCTGAGCCCTGGATCTTCAACTCCGCGTCAGTCTGAAACAGCAGAGGACAGGCTGAGGCGCTAGGGGCTAACGTGCCAAAGGGACCTCCCCACCCTGAGGGACTAATGTCTAGGTCTAGGGGGCTACCCACAGTGCCTGGCCTCCAGTCCACCTCCTGTGAGACCCAGCAGCAGTAAATGTAGTGCTCTGGAAGCCTTTATCAAAGATGACTGTCTCGTTGAAGAGAAAAAACGAGTCCCAACCAGGAACTGCAGCCTGGAGGACGTGAGACTCCATGTCAAAGACTCTGTGAGACCACCACCCAAGATTAAGAAGGATTAAGAAGGTCTCAGTCATCCTGGGAAGGGAAGGGGACCCTGCTCTGGGCCACAGCCTTGTGTAGCAGAGCGCCCCCAGGCCGGCTGCCCTGCTCATCTCTCCCGCCTCATGGGGTGCATGTGTGGAGGTGCTTGGAGCAGTGGCGGGCCATTGTCCTGTGGGTGCCCTGTGTCATTAGGCCTCCTGTTCTCGGACCCCACAGCGCGGCGTGTATTCTGAGATGGCCCTGGTAGGGTGCTGGGGAAGGTCAGACTTCGAGTTCCCGGAGGGTCAGCAGGGGCACTGTGGCCCTGGGGTAACGGTCGGTTCTGGTGTCCCCAGAGTAAGATGAGAGGTGGTACACAGGTGGACACATGTGGCTGACCGCCTGTGGACAGCCTGGTTCCGTCCCATGTACCTGTGGGGGGTGGGGTGCCACTGGCTGGTCTTTCCTGCAGGAGCCAGGGGGGCAGTGGCATGGAGTGGGCCTGCCCTGCCTGTGGCTAAGCCACCCCAGAGCCTTTGCTGCTGGCACCTCGGGGAATGGGTACCTTGGCCATCACAGGGAGGCACTGGTACTCAAGCCTGCAGCTGGGCACTGGTACTCAAGCCTGCAGCTGGGATCGCGAGTGGTCACTGGTCAGGGCCCGAGCTAGTCTGACTCGGCTGGTACATCTCTGTGCGCTGCTGGTGCCCAGGCTGCTGCGTGGGTGTAGTGTACCCTCCGCACACTGCCAGCGTGGTCCCCGTGTGACTGCACGGTGGGGGTCAGCCAACCCTCAGAATCAAGATGCAGGAGAGTCCTGAGTTCTTCCAGCTGCTTGGAAACACATGCTCCACGCTCTGCTTGCATGCTTGGCTAAGAGCCATTTGCAGTTGGTTTACCATGACCCTGTGTGAGCTGGCCAGGGGAGGATAACTCCAGAGCCCCTTATATCTGCCTTGTGCCCAACAGCCTTCCTCGGGGTAGTCCGCTCTAACAGCCCAGACGAGCCCTTAGGGTGGGTGGGCAGGCACCTGCCTGGACACTGGGTTGCATCAGGAAGGGCCCAGACCTCAGGCTGACTGGAAGCCTGCTTTGTCCACTACCTAGTGCCCTCCCCTGGACCTGGGCCCCTGATACTCATGGCTCACAGAGCTGGGCCCGGTCAGTGTTCCTGCCAGCCTTTGTGGGCACGGGGCGGGGCTTCCAGAGTTGGGGGTCCGTCACTAGCCTGGCAGAGCGCTGGCATCTGGGGACCGCTGGACCTGCTGCGGAGCCAGGCCGCTTTTGTGGCGGGATAACGGCAAAGTGACCTAGGCGCGAATTCTAGTTTCCTCTCCTTACTCATTAGCCAATTGTGAAATTAGCAACTTGTTTTCCTCCTACTCACTTCCCTTTGAAGTTCCATACAATTCTGAACTCTCCTCACTCTGTGTGGAGCCTGGTGAGCCAGCTGTGACCCCTGCAGCCAGCGGGGAGCCCCCTGAGCCCCTCCCTTGGAGCTTCTGTCAGGGTCTTGGGTCAGAGCCCGCTGGTGTAGTCCGTGCTCACCTCTGGCTCGGCCTTTGAGGCTTCTGGGGGCTTTGTGACAGTTGTCCCAGCCAGCGCCTGCCTACTTGCTGAGTGTGCGCCTGAGTGGCTGACTGCACGGAGGGGGTGGTGGTGGGGTGCCTGGGAGATGCTGTGGTGTGGGCAGGAGCCCCAGCCAGTCTGATGGATCGGGCTCATATCCCATTCACATATGATGCCAGCAGTTTTTTTGTAGTTTGTCTTCCATTGCGGTAGTAAAGTTTTTAATTAGGAAAGCTAATGAGATCGATTAGTCATTAGCGGTGACCTCGGCATGGCGGGGCGCGGCCGCGTGTGTGGGCCTGATAAGGAGCCGCAGGGGCATTGTTTGCAGTAAAGGCGTCTGCTCTTGACTTGAGTGAAATGTGCCACAGGGAATCGATCATGCGGAGAAAAAAATTACAACCCTGGGAGGCTGTAATGAAGGCAGTGAGACCAACATCCTATCTACATGCCGTGGTTATCTGCACAAAACCCCTCAGCCAGCGGGAGGAATGGAGAGTGCTCTGTTGGTGGGGTGGTCTGGCCCTGCTTGGCACCTGCCCATGGCTCTGGAGGGGCGAGTTACCCATAAGCCACCAGTGTTGTTGGTTTGTTGGGGCAGGGCAGGGTCCCTGGGGTTCAGCTGGGCCTGCCCACCAACACTGCCGACTGCATTTGGCTCCTTGTTGCTTGTGCCCCCAGCTCCAGGCCACTGGGTGCAGGCCTGTGTCAGCCCAGGCTGGATGTGACCCCCTAAGGAGGTGCCCACAGGCCTGAGTCAGCAGTTATTGGGAAAGGTGGGCAGGTGGGGGCTGGGGACAGGGTGGCCGTGGGTCCTGGAACGGTGCAGGGTGCACTAGCCACATGTCCGGTCAAGGTGTTACCAATACAGGGAACCTGGTTGTTCCAACTATGGACCTTGTTTCCTTAGATCTGCTAATTGGGTTCTAATAAGTAAAGCACGTTAAGTTAATGAAAACATTTGGCTGTTGGTGAGTCCACACAGCACAGTGTTGAGCTGCTCCCTGGGGTCAGATGTGTCCAGCCAGGGAAGGGCCTTGGCTGTGACCAGTCCTGTGGTCAGCGGGGGCTTGCCCAGGAGGGAGGGAGAAGGCAGTTTCTACTGAGGGGCAATGGGGCCAGCTTGGGCTCCTGGGAGCTGAGGATACGGTGAGCTGAGGTGGCTGAGGCCAGGACAAGTAGCCTTGTCCTCGCTTTGTGCCACTGGACACTGCCCACAGGGCAGTCTGGAACCCAGAAAGACTCATGCAGAACCGGGCGCCAGGCAGGGCCAGGTGGCTGTGGGGTTAAGTGTCGCCTTCCCATTAGCTGTGCAGTATAAGGGAGGTCTTTCCATCTGAGAAGTCTTGTGTGCTGACAGTGGTCATCGGAGCCAGTGGTCAGCATTGGGCTTCCAGTCAGAGGTGGGAAGGCCTTATCCAGGATGCCGTGGGCTGGTACAGGGTGGGGCGTGCAGGGAGCCCCCTAGAGTGAGGCCAGCGTGGGTTTATTGAGAACTTAAAGGAATTTGAACAGCCTCGGGCTCTTGGTGGGGAACAAGCCATTGTTGATTTTCACCGGTCTTCTGGCAACTCAGCCAGTGGTCACGTTTCTGGTCCTCAGCCGGGGGCTGCGCAGAAGTCTTGGGCTCTGCTGAGCTCTCTCCCGACTGGTCCAGGCTTCTGCCCTTTGGGGCCAGGACAGTTAACTGTTCAAGGTGTGCAGCAGAGGGCGGGGAGTGTTCGAATCTGGGGGCTGCCAGGTGCTGCGGGCCCTCCTAGGAGGTGAGGCAGCAGATGTGGGGTCAGAGTGGGGACTCATCTCCTCCCATTTCCCCGCTTGTGCTGCCCAGCTAGGCCATCCTGGCCCTGTGACCCTCAGCGTGAAACTGTTTTTGCCTAGGCAGTGAGGGGCCGTCCTGCCCAACCTCACTTCTGCCTGTTCTCGCTGACCAGCCAGGCCACCTGTCCAGGACTGAATCCGCCTGGCAACTCAGCATTGCTGGTCAGCTAGTCCTTGTGTGGGTGGGGTCAGGACCCTGAGGAAGGAGCCTGGGGTCCTAGAGGGGCCATGGGAAGGAGCTAGACCCTGGGACCCAGAGCCCTGCGGGTGAGGCTCCTGGCCGCCCTGAGGGTCCCTGAGCTGGATGCTGCCGAAGGTCTGGTCCAGGTACTTTTGCTTTAATTATCCGGGAGTTAGCGCTGTGCGTGAGGAAAGCCGAGCAATTAGAGGCGTGCCTGGAAGTCTCGGACAAATTACCGGCTCTCCTGTGAAGGCACTCTGGCAAAACAGAACCTGCTAATTGTGTGAAACCTTCAGCAAGAAAGAGGCGCTGTGTCCTGACAACAGACATGATGACATACATACATGTATCAACATACATACATGTGTCAGGGCTGGGGCCCGGCTGGGAGGGCCCAACTCCTTCCTAGGCTGTAGGGATCCTGCAGATCCGTGGAGGGCCGAGTTGGCCAACCAGGGGGGACCAATTCCCCAAGCCTCGGCAGTGGCCAGGATCTGAGTGGGTCCACATGCTGGCTAGGCATTCTGGGGTGCTCATGGGAGTTGGGGCTACAGGGTTCTCGTCCCCAGAGGAGGTGGCCAGTGGGGGACAAGCTTCAGTGGCAGCCCCCCACTGACCCTGGACCCCACCTCTCTACAGCCTGCAGCCCGCACACCCTGCGTATGCCCCCCACCGGCAAAGTGATCAAGACTCGATACCGAATTGTCAAGAAGAGCTTGGCCTCCCCGCTCAGCAACCCTCCCGTCCACCTGCCTTTGCCCACCTGGAGCGCTCGGCGGCTCTCGCTGTCCAGGTAAAGGATGCTGACAGCTGCTGTGGACAGGAGGGGCCTGTCTGGGCTGCCGAGGGTTGGAGGGAGGGCCCCGAGGGTCAGGTGGGCTGAGCGTACCCCAGGGACCCAGGCTGTGCCGCAGCTCATTAGCTGGGGAATTGCATAATTTTTCTGTTTGTGTAGCATTTTCTGCCCCAGCGACCACCAGCCTTCTGCGCATGCCTACACACACGTACACATGCTAACTGCACACATATGTATATGTATATGGACACACACACTCTCCCCCAGCTTGCCCCACAGTTATCAGCAAGTCCTGTAGCTGCTTGGCCCGCCTACTACCCAGTCAAATGGCCAGGCGGTCACTGAGTCCTAGGATGACCCTGTGTGGACTCCAGCAGTGGTAGGACCAAGCTCTGGGGCCCATATGGTAGGGGGAGTTGGAGCAGGCAGTGGCTGACTGGCTTCTATGTCCCAGCCCTCGGGACCCCACCCCCCTTGACTGTGGCTGCTGCTGGGTGGGGTACCCATTGCTGCCAGACCTTTTCTGGGGTCTGTGGCTGGTCTGGGGTTTGGCTAGGCACTGTGGCAGGGACAGCCTGTAGGCTGGGCCAGGTGGTGCCTGAAGCCTCTACCCTACCGCAGGGTTGCGCTGAATTTCACTCCACCACAGACTTTTCTGGAGGCAAGAGCTGGAAGTGTATTTTAACTGAATGTTGCTGCACTTTTTGTAATATTTTGTTTTAAATAGATTTATAAGCATCTTGGGGACTATTCCTACAAATTTATGAAGATAATTTTCACTCCTCCATCAGGTTGAATTTACACCTGCTATTTCCATATTAATTCACATTGCTAAGTGGGTCTCATTTTCTTCCGTTTTTCTATCTGGTGAGCACGGCCTTTCCTGATGCAATTTCCCCCTCACTAAATCACTGAGATCGGGAGTCATGATCGAGCTAAATTAACTTAAATTAATTTACTTAATAAGAGTCCCAGATCACCGGAACGAGGCTCAGATTTATTGGTTCTCCCTCCGGCCTCCCCGCGAGGGTGGCTTTCAGCCGTAGGGCTTCATCCTGGGCCCCTCTCTTCACCCTCTCCCGGCCCTGTCCCTGACCCGGGTAGCTCCCTCTTTGGATGTTGGGAGTGAAGCGTGAGGTGGGGGTGGAGCCTTGGAGGACCCTGGAGGAGAGGCCTTGCTGAGATCACCAAGATCACCTGGGCCGGGTTCTGCCTCCTCCTCGGCAGAGTGGCCTCTGCTACGCCTACCTGGGCCTGCTGTCCACTTGTAGGCCTGGGCTCTGGGTGGAGGCAGCAGAGAGGTCTGTCACGGATTGGTCAGGGCCCGCTGTGATCTGTTTCCATCAGAACTGGGCCAGCAGTGTAGTCGGCAGGCCTGTGGGCAGTGAGCTCTGACCTGTCTGGACTGTAGGTTCCACCACTCTCCCTGGGTAGAGGGTGGGCAGGTAGGTGGGATGGTGAGGGGAGGAAGGGCTGTCCAGCCAGGCAGGGAGGACTTAGGGTGAGGGAGGTCTGGGTGCTACATGTATGCCTCCCTGGAAGGAACCACCCTAGAGGGGTGGGGGCGGGACCCAGCAGTTCCAGAAACCTTTGTGGGAGCAGGGAGGGCAGCTTATGTGAGTGTATGAGTGTGTGTTGGCATGAGTGATGTGTGTGCACGTCTGGGAGCGTGTGGACAAGTGTGAGCTCCTGTGTGTGTGCATGTCTGTGAGCATGTAGACAAGTGTGAGCTTGTGTGGGTGTGCATGTAATCGCATGTGAGTGTGTGGACAAGTGTGAGCTCC